GTTATCAAAAGCAATCAACAAGAGGAACAAGCCTGTCAAGCCGATCATGACGGACGGGAAGGAGACCCAAGACCACCTTATGTAGATACAGGTTGTATTGTTCCATACGATTCCTGTGGCATTCTCAGAGGCTTCTAGGAGTACATTGCCGTCTCTGCCTATGATAGTTTCTGCACTCGTACGGATCACGGTGGTCATTGCGGTCGCTAGCCCCTTGATTCGCTCATCAACGCTTTTGACTGTGATATTGCCATCTTGAAACAGTACGCGTAGGTGAGCTGATCCGAAAACGCCGCCAATATACCCCATGGAAGCCTCTTGTTTGTCGAACACCTCCGTCAAGGTATCGACCATCGCCGTTTTGGAAGATTTGCGTACAGACCAATCGCAGTCCTTTGGGAAGTACCACCACTTCCATCCTGCGCTTGGATTCGTATGACCTGTGAGATTGACATAGGTTGCGTCGTCGCTGAGTTTCAGGAATCGGGTCAGTCCGGGTGTAGGAGTGTCAGAGCCTTCGCAAGACTCACGCACGCCATTTCGTATCGTGTAACTCGTGGTCATTCTGTGATCCCACGAAAAGATTAGATTGCCAAAATCTTCGTCATTGATACGAGGTTTGCGGAATTGAAAGGCAATTCTTTCAAGTGTAACAGCGCCGATCAGACTCTCTTCTAGAACGGCATTCCTTATTCTGGCCTCGTAAGTGTTGATGGTCGGAAAAAGCGAACATTTCGAAATTTTCCAGTCTGTGTTGTTCCAGTGCGGTCTGAACAAGAAGTATAACGCAATCAAATCAGACGTGTTTGATGGTGCAGCGACCCATGATGAGACCACAGGTCCGCCCCTCTCTTTCGACCATGCGAAGGTCTGGTTTTGGCCATAGTCCAAACCCAAGTACACTCGGGTGTATGGATCGCCTTTTCTAGGCTTGGTTTCGTTCACAACATGGATTTGCGAAGTAATGTCCTCACAAATGTGACTGATGGCCAAGGTAGAGAACGAGGGACTGCCAACCTCAGAGAAAGTACAGTTGCCAGTGCCGCACCCAGAGGAAAGTGCGCTTGTCAAGTCGCCTGGGCTTTGAAGTATGCCAACGTTGATTGCAGCTACCATTGGAGCATAGTCGGCAGGGCTATTAGTTTGAACGAACCCTCCTACACGGGAATAAGAACTAGTTCTTGATATATTCACCAACGCAGCTGTATCTTCCTCAAGACAATCCTGGAATTGGACAAGCTGCTGCGCAAAGAAGCCGGTGAGCGAAGCCATGAGCGTAATAAATGCGCCCATGACTGCAAGATAACTTACATGTCAGCTACTTCCATTTGGGCCAGAGATTGTCGTTGCTTACTATGCTTGCCTTGGTCTGAAGTAGTACAGCAGAGTCAATGAGCCCCAAGAACCACGGCTAGCGCAGTCCAGGCGCTCAATATGATCCAGTTTCTTTTCTTTCCTATACCAGTTCCACTTGCACTGGCTTATGCCTTGTATGGTGGTTAGCATTGGTATTACATCTACATTCAGATGAGGGCGATCTACCTTCTGCGAGGACAACCCCTACACAGGCTCTCATGATCAAGGAGAACAAAGATATGATCGAGTTTATCGTGACTAGCTGTGGCCATTGAGGGAGCGGCTTGCTTTGATGCGCTGAGAGTGTTGCGACAAGTCCAGCAAGGGCCAAGATCGCAATGAAGTAACTGCAGGTCTCCGTCGTCCAGCTCTTTGACCCCACACGACTCATATAATGAGAGAACTTGTTCCATTCGATCTGGATGCGGCTGAGTACAGTTGGAAAGCGCTTCTTGGACCGGACAGCTGGTGAAAGGATGATCGTCCTCCTGGTATCACCGGGGTCTTGCCTTTCGGTTGCCTGTGTTTCTATACCTGGCAACAGGATAGTCGGATGAGAGTGTTGAGGCGCCACATCCATCTCGATGTCGCCATCATTGAGTAGTGGTTGTTCCGACCACTGTTCGTCTGCCGGCAGTGAATTACCGCGAGCAAAATGGTCTGGCTCACCTCTCGATTCGTTCGCATGCAACGGACTTACGTCGCCGAAATTTACACGACTGTCCGTTGTTACGTTCGTAGGTGGCAGGCTATCCTTGCGCTGGTGTCCAGGCTCTTCTGTCGGATCATTACTGCTGGCGTGGTGGAGTGGCTGTATCGATGATGGAGCTCGCTCCATCGGAAAATAATCTGTTTGATGAGTTATACGTTAAGACGACGCACGCAAGGTCAGCACCATATATATAGTCATGGACAATAAGTAGGTCAATCAACGTCAGCTGCTAAATTGGTGATCACCGTGTGTAACACAGGCAAGGCTGAAACTTCGGGAAGCGAGCTCATTGGTCGTCCTAAGCGCACAACAGTTGCTCAGCCTTGTTGCCTGCATAGCTGTCCGCAGTCAACTGGAATTTGGCAGAAGATGTGAGCGGCGCAGGCAGACTGCCCATTGATCGGTCGTACATGGGCGGAGTAGTCCCGCAGCCGCGAGTGCTGTAAAGCATTAAGACATATGTAGTGAGACTATTACAGCTGGTCTGTGCTATAGGAGCGGAGCCAATTCGGCGACCAGAGACTAGTTGTGCTCAGGACCGTAGAGTTACTCGTACTGATCGAACAGCACTGGCAATCACAAAAGTCGAGCGTCCTGTCTTGATTCGGCATAGTGCGTTCCTGTTTGGTAGTACGTACCTATGAACCAAGTACTCCACACCTGCAGCTTAGTTTCGGACATCATTTTAAAGCTCTTTCCATTTCGTCCAACGTGACAGATAGGTGTCATTACGTCTGCTCGAACGAAACTTACCTCAGTCATTCCGACACCATATTAATCCTTCACCTCGCCATCCTGTCTCGCAGTCTTCCCGTCCTCAATAACAACCCGCTCAACCCCTGTAGTAATTGCTAAACTCAGCATGTCGAACAAGTACTCTTCATCCTTCCTCACTACATTGACGTAGTATTCGTCCCCATATGCTCTCTCGAAGTCTTCGTAGGATTTGTACCAAAAGTCCGCGATACCGTCGTATGGCATTGTATCGGACGTCAGGCGAGACTTGTAGGATGACTTGGTTTGGTACTATCTTGTTTCAGGTTATTGTAACGGTATTTTGGACACGAATCACTTGAGTTTGGGGTGTTGAAGGATGATGGACGGGGAAGTAGTCAAATTGAGGCTAAATGGAGAACTCGCATACCTGAACGTATTTGACGCATCCATGCGTCTTGAGCCAGCCTGTGATCAATAGGCCGTGTTTCTTGACCCAGTGATCGTTGAATTCCTCCTCGGTGAGTTTGGGATTGCGCTTCGCGCAGACTGTGACGCGCACAAGCTGATCCGCGGGCATGGCGGTTTTGTTGCAGTCTCAGGACGTCGGGGGACGTAGGATATAGAAGAGGTTTTGGCGTTGTATCATCACAATATTAATCAGATACAAACAATCATATCTGAGAGCTAAGTCCCACGAACTGATGCCCTGTTATGACATCATGATCGGGTGGTGCGCACTAAAGAGTACGTGAGCACAACGGACACAAAACTTTGGCCGAATGATGAGAAAAGGTGGAAAGAAAGTCGTAAGGTAGCGTAATGACTTGGATTAATTCTTCATTCGCTCAAGCTAAGCTTGTCGTTCATCTTTTGTCTCACAGACTCCACCGCTTGTGACATTGTCCCTTAGCAGAACCACCCACCGTCAATCTGCACAGCATTTCCAGTCATGAAAGATGAAGAATCAGAGAGCAAGAATTCGATAAGGGGCGGAACTTCTTTTTGGTGCGCCGCTCTCCCAAGCGCGAGGAAACTCCAATCCGTTTCAGAGCCTTTGATCTTGGTAGACTCTCTTAACATTGGTGTATCAATTGGACCCCTGCAAAATGTTAGCGAGGTATCTCTCTGGGAAAGTTCACCTTCTACTCACGGGCAAATGCAATTAACTCTAATCTTCCTAGTTCCCAACTCTTTCGCTGCGCTCCTCGTCATGCCCACGACCGCATGCTTCGATGCAGAGTATGCGAGGTTCTTTGCAGCGCCGATGACTCCCAGGATACTTGCTGCGTTGACGATCGCTGCGCCATCATTGAAGTGTGGGACTTGAGCGCGCAAGCAATTTTTCAATCCCCCAACGTTCACGCCCATTACGAAGGCCCAATCATCGTCATCGACGTCTTCAATGTTGACGGCGTTTGCCTGCTTGCCGATCACGCCTGCGAGATTGGCTGCACCGTCTAGTTTTCCGAACTTCTCGACCGTTGATGCGATCCATGATTCCACTGCTTTGCGGTCGCGGACGTCGACGACTTGGGACATAACTTGAGCTCCAGACGTCTGTAGTTCCGATTCGAGGTCCTTGAGAGGCTTTTCTTGTACATCTGCGAGAGATAGCTTTGCGCCTTTGCTGGCAAAGAGGCGGGCTGTTTCGAGACCCATGCCCGATGCGGCGCCAGTGATCACAATGACCTTGCCGTCCATGGTAATTGCGGATGCTGTGAATAGCGAAATGTCGCAGGGGATTGTAGTATTATACTTCGCGAGAGGGAAAGAGCAGTAATAATGTACAATTGTGTGCTCTCTTAGGTAGGGTTGGCACACGTGTGTGTGGTCGCCGACTATGTTGTACTAAACCCCAATTTTATAGAGGTCTCCACCGAAATTGGACAACTCATAAGTGCATTGCCATTAGCAGATCCGATCCGTCGTGCCGAGACTCCGAGCATTGTGGAAGGTACACGCGCGACTGCAGACATCGAGAGGGTGACCTTTCCCGCGATAGCTCTATACTTGACCCCGCGCTGGCGGAATGATTTCGGAGTTATTTATTGGATTCGGCGACATTGCATGCAACGTAGAGGTTGGCGAGTGGCCTCAGCCAGAATAGCACTATGCATGATAGAGCAAGCTGTCACAGGTAGCAAAAAGAGACAGGCGACCAGCCTTTTGTACGCTCATGGAGCTTTGATGGACAAAAATAAAAACACTAGAAGTCAGGGCCGAACCGGAGTCGAACCGGTGACTTCGGGATGAACGGCTATGGTAGTGCTGCAATCCTACACTCTACCACTGAGTTACCGGCCCGTTCATTTGTTTGATGACTAATTTCGAGATTTTTTGAATACATATACCGATAGAAAAATCGTTCTTTCGAGGTGATGGCCGAAAAGCTGACACGAGGGAGTTGAATTTTGTATGTGGGGGCGAGCGGGGTAAATCCATTGTAGCGGGCGAAATACCTCCAAATCTTTGCAACCACCACTCTTGCAAGACCACCTTTTGCCCTCCCGGTGGTCGCAATATACACGCCCGCTATAGCTACTCGCAATAAACATACTGACCACAAGAACAGAACTTTTCGTGTCTTCCCATCCTAGCCTTACCCAAGCTGCCCGCCACATGATCTTCACTCCATGTCATCGTCGTCTTGCCCCGCTTTTGCGCATCAAGCAGGCCACTTCCACCGTGGCTCGCTCGAGAACTTCATTCCGCATCGATCCAGCTTTGCCAGAATCTGAACTTTGTTGCCCTTCTTCTGGAATCCCATCTGAAACCACGTGTAAAGTGGGGTGAATAGTTCCTCGGGCTTGCAGCTGAGGTCGACCGCTTCGATGCATCGCTGGCCTTTCCAGGTGGGGCAGCGGGTGAGAGTGAGCTTTTGGAAGCGCTCGCAGTGCAAGATGTTCCTGAGATCTAGGGTAGCGAACACTTCTTCCCTGGATTTGATGTGTGTGTAGTAGCCGGTGTCCGCGTTGAAGGGAATGAAGTTCAAAGAGCTGATGGTGATGGTGAGGTGCTGCAATGTCACTGCTCTTGCAACCAGGTCAGCGACATTCCAGAAATCAGGACATCCAGGACGAGGGAATACCTGGTAGAGGCGGAGGGGTTCGGTGAAGCTGAGCGACTTGATGTTAGCTCAGCCTCTGCCTCCAGCGGTCGTGTCCAGAAATCAGACAAATCATTTTGGCATGGTGGGGCCAGAGTTGAGAAGGAAGTTACGGATCCTGGTCCAGACGAGGAAGACCTCTTTGAATAGTGCTTGGTGCGCGAAGCCGAGAGGAGGGAGAGCATTTGGGTAGAGGAAGCGCGATGGCTTCATGCCACCCTCGAGCACGAAGTCCTTTGGTTCGTTAGCCATTGCGAATCCGCAGATCTTTTCTCTCAATTCGAGAGGAAGGCGCAGCAACTAGGACATGGTGATCGATGGCGTGTAGTCGAAGTTTGTCAAAGTTTTTAGACATGAAGCGTGCTTTCACGGCACTGCCATGTGGGAACGCGTGCTAGCGCGGTTTTGCCACATGGGAACAGTAAGCACGCTTCATGTTCCGTCTCGGGATGAATGGACCTGCTATCCCCCAGCGCTCTTGATGGGATTGACCCACTGTTCTATTGTGCATGGTGGTGGAGGTTGTCAACCTGGTTCTAAAACGAAATTAGTACTTTAAGTACAGTTGAAGATCATTATGAGGAGACATGATTCCCTGAGCATACTCTTGGCATCTTACTGTATTCACAGACAAATCATTCAATCTGACACATTCGTGTGCAGAGAAGTGCGAACATGAATTCCAGACTTCATGACACGAGCGTGAAGAGAGCAATCCGACTCCGGACACATGAGCATTCGTGGACTCACGATCATGAATATATTGTATGACCCATAAAAACCATTCCCAACTACAGTAAAAACACGATCCATAGGTTCACAACATGCTGAAAACTTTTGTGGCAGCACTGGCTGCCTTCAGTCTTCTGCCATCGACCGCGTCTCTGGACGTAGCTGGTCCTCACGAACGCGCTGCTTTGACAGCACAGCCAAGTCCTGTTCTCAACACCCATGCTCTGTCCTCCACAACAGCCAGCCCTCACAAAGATGAAGACGCACGTACGTCATTCGTTACATTTCGCCATAAATCAACCACGACCCTACCAATACAGCTAAATATGAGAGGGACGAGATGGATACCACGGACCTGATACCGTGCTGGACGTGTGGGTGCTGTGATAATGAGGACGTGGATGATGAAGGGAAAGAGGAGAAGTGGCGTGTTAGGCGATCAAGGGATTATATCATGGAGATATATATGCGCCTTCTACACGTCGTGGTTACGCTATTTGTTCTGGGGGTGTGGATTCGGGCTTGGGTTGGGGACGATATGAGGATAATATAAACCACTTCGAAATGTTGACAAATTAGCGCAGAGACATATTGAAAACAGCTTGAAGGATTGACAAGTCGATTCTTTTTCTTCATTTACTTTTACTTGTAGTATTTCGCCATCTACACCTCCTGCTTCCACTCCTTGTTGAACGCCCTTCCAATAACCATTCTCCTCACCTCGCTCGTCCCCGCCCCGATCTCGTACAACTTCGCGTCCCGCAATATCCGGCCTACAGGGACTTCATTCATGTATCCCATGCCGCCCATCAACTGCACCGCATCCGCCGCAACCTCGCTGGCCCTCTCCGCTGCATATAGAATCGCGCCTGCACAGTCCTGCGTTGCGATTTGCGGGTTCTCGTGAGACTCATCTACCGCACGTGCAATGGCATATGTAAACGCCTGACTCGCGCGGAACTTGGTATACATATCCGCCAACTTTCCCTGTACAAGCTGGTTGTGCGCAATGGGAATTCCAAACTGTTTCCTTTGATGTGTATACGGCAGCACGTTATCCAAACTTGCTTGCATGAGGCCTAGCGGTCCGGCAGATAGAACGAGGCGCTCGAGATCCAGACCTTCCATGAGGACGCGCACGCCGCGGTTGAGGTGGCCGAGCATGTTCTCTTTGGGCACGAAGACGTTGTCGAAGACAAGTTCGCCTGTGTTGGAGCCGCGCATGCCAAGCTTGTCGAGCTTCTTGGTGATGCTGAAGCCCTTTGTCGAGGTTTCGACAATGAAGGCGGTTATGCCTTTGGAGGCGGCCGAGGGTTCGGTTTTGGCGTAGACGACGATGGTGTGGGCGTCTGGGCCCTGTCAACGATATCAGTATCTCCATGTGGAAAACCATTTGGTGGGGGTAGCATACGTTCGTTATCCACATCTTGGTGCCATTAAGCAGATATCCGCCGTCCACCTCTTCAGCTGTCGTCTTCATGCTCACGACGTCTGAGCCAGCCGAGTGCTCAGACATAGCCAGCGCACCTATTTGCTCGCCGCTGATGAGGCCGGGGAGGTACTTCTTCTTCTGCTCTACGCTGCCATTCAACATCAACTGGTTGACACACAGCTGACTGTGCGCGGCGTAGCTGAGTCCTATACTGCCAGATGCTCGTGACAATTCCTCCATGACCACACAATGTGCCTGGTATCCCATTGCAAGTCCTCCAAACTCCTCATCCGCTGTTATGCCGAGGAAGCCTGCTTCGCCAAACTTCCGCCACATGTCGTTGGGGAATGCATTCTCGCTGTCTGTCTTTGCAGCGACTTCCTCCGGTATCTCTCGGCGTGTAAATTCCCGTACTGACTCTCTTAGCTCATCGAGGTCGGATTGTGTGGGCGGCGAGAAGTTGTTTGGGTGCTTCGTCGAGGCGTGTCGGCGGGCAGTGATGGCTGCGGCCTGTGAGCATCGGAAGAGGGGTCGCGCCGTGCGAGCGAAGACACGAGGTGTTAATGAAGCCATTTTGCACAATTGTGGAATATTCTGAAGAGTGCAAGACACATGCGCACGCAAAATGTAGAAGTTGGCAGTGTGTTCGGCTTAGGTTTGCAGCGGCATAATGCGACTACGAACGAGCCGCCGAGGCTCCTTCCAATTGCGGAGGACGCACGGTGACGGGTCGAAGTCTGGGGTAACAGCGGTCTAATTCCGCATATGCTTCACACCTCAAAAACAATTGAACTCTCCTTCACGTTCAATCCGAATGTTATTGAGTTTGACGATCGATTAACCTACAGCTCTTCAACCTTCTTCATCGGCCGCCCATTGCACTCCCCCACGTCCAACGCGACCAAAAACCTGCTCACAGCATTATACGCCGCCACCGTCGCCGTCAACTCCACAACCTTTGTATCTCCCAATGCCTTCTTCAACCTTTCCGTCAACTGCTCATCCACCTGCACCCCCACCGTCATCTGATCCGTATACAACACAACCACCTTTTCTTCCTCACTAAGCCCCTTCAATGCCTCGTCATCTGTTGACCCCTTTGACGAAACAGGCAAGTCAAAAACAACCTGCATCACCTCACGCGACACGCCCGCCTTGACAGCGAGCGCAGCGTGGATGTCCCATTCGTGCACGGCCTTGTTGAGCACCGCGACGCGCGATATGGCGATTTCCTTGACCGCGTCCGACAGGCTGGTTTTGGTGCGGATCGCGCCGATGAACGAGTTCCAGCCGTCGGCGACGGAGGGGTTGTGCAGGAGCGCGAGGTCGAGAGGGATCAAAGGGCGCGGCTTGCGGCGCTCGGCGATGCGCTCGTAGATGGGGCGCGCTTCTTCATTTGGAGGCTCTGAGGGGGCGTAGGGGACGCGCATTTTGAGAGATGTGGTAGTTGTGAGAGTGCGGAGGGGACAAATGGGGTTTGTATGGAGGCGTGGTGATGTGGGGCGGAAAAGGTATCCTAGGGTGCGAAGGAACATTGGTGAGCTAGAGGTGGGAATTGGTCCTCAAAAACTCTCTGAACGAGTAAGTCGCCGGAAGGGGAAAGTATGTAGTAAGTTCTGCGTGTCTTTTGTGAGTTAACGAGAGCGATGTCGGCGCAAGTGAATCCTGTGACGTGAAGGCTGTTGATTCATTTGTTGAATTTATGACATGCTTTTATATACATCTAAGCACTCATTCGATGCAAAAAGTCAAAGGTATCGCTATATACAAAAATGGCTGACACTCAAATCAAGTCCCGCTCATGCTATTCTCTACAACCTGCTCGACTCATCGAACACGTTTGGTAGCCTTGGGATGCCCTCCAGACGGCCAGTCTTCTTGCCTGTTGGCGCCAAAGTGACGTTGTAGAGCAAGTCGAGCTTCGCCTTGGGGTCGTTGCTGGGCTTGAAGTCGAGCAGCAAGTCGTCCTTGACGGCAAAGACGGTGTCGTTGGAGACCCACTGGTCGTCGCGGGGGTACAATTGGGTGATCAAT